AAGGTAATGAACCTTCGGGTTCGATAAAATGCTGGGAAGTTCTTGAGTTGCTGCACAATTGACGGGTTCTCAAGAAGTGTTCAGCTCCATGAATGAGTGAATGATAACATATGAATTTAAAAATGCATTAAAATACCTGCTTAAATTAACAGTAGTTTTTACGAACGTATGTTTCTTATGAAGAAAGCAGTCTTTTGGGATTTGGCACCGTGTATAAGTGGTAACCGACGTTTCGGAGGAACGTATCGCCTCCATCTTCAGGGTAGAAGAAAATATAAGAATTCTGCAAGCAGACCGTCTGCTTTTACCGGTTCTCACGGTCTCTTCGCTTGCAGAATTCTTATATTTTCTTCTACCCTGAAGATGGAGGCGATACGTTCCTCCGAAACGTCGGTTACCACTTATACACGGTGCCAAATCCCAAAAGACTGCTTTCTTCATAAGAAACATACGTTCGTAAAAACTACTGTTAATTTAAGCAGGTATTTTAATGCATTTTTAAATTCATATGTTATCATTCACTCATTCATGGAGCTGAACACTTCTTGAGAACCCGTCAATTGTGCAGCAACTCAAGAACTTCCCAGCATTTTATCGAACCCGAAGGTTCATTACCTTATTCAAAAGAGACCTTCACTGGTCCCTATCCTGAGCCAGATCAATCCAATCCATACCATACCATCCTATATCTCTAACATCCATTTTAATACTGCCCACCAACATATGCCTTGGTCTTCCTAGTGGCCTCTTTCCATCTGGCTTTCCCACCAATATCCTATATGCATCCCTCGTCTTCCCCATTCGTGCTACGTGCCCTGTCCACCTAATCCCCTTTGATTTAATTATTCTAATTATACTTGGAGAAGAGTACAATTATGAAGTTGCTCATTATGCAGTTCTCTCCAACCTTCTTTCACTTCATCTTTCTTCGGTTCAAATATTGTCCTCAACAACCTGTTCACAAACATCCTGTGTGTTCCTCCCTTAATGTCAGAGACCAAGTTCCACACTCATACAGAACCACAGATTACTCAAATAGTAAACCTACGAGTATTAATATTAAGCGAATTTACAACTGAAATAAATACATTATTCTGACCAAAACTGGATTCGAGCGTATAATCATCTGGGGAAGAGCCCGACTTCCTAACCCCTGTGTTGAATTGAATTTTATTCTTCAGTTATAAATTCATGTTACTTAAATATGATGATAATAGCAATAAGACCCGGAAGTCTGTTCAGTAGGAAAGTAGGCTTCATGAGCTCTATCCAAAACGTCTTATTATTATTTAGATATTACATTGTCACGTGTTAGTGACTAGGCACGGGGTTTGGACTGGTAATTGGATTTATTGAACTCTTACAGATCGTAAATGCTAGTCATTATATCGCTCTCGCTAATTCACTCACTCAACTGCTCACTACAACACACATTAAGTTTTCTCAGTCTGCCTTCGCTAGCCGTTGCTAGATTACGGCTCGCAACAATATAGATTCCTCAGCTTCCGTGTTCACCTCATTACCGGCTGAGGACTGTCTCACATCTCACTCATCGCTCCAACTCTCGACTCTCAACTAACTAGTCAGAGTCAAAGTCACATTGCGATTGACGGTCAGTCACTCAGTCAGTATGTCTTGGTGTCGAGCCCCATCTGAAGTTCATGACCAGATATTTATTAGTGTTTGACAGTTACGATCCTGTTTTTGTGGGGCTCCCTCTCTGACGATAGGATAGGTGTGTCTTTTGTATATGTTGCTGGCTCTTGCCAGCGCAGTCTTCCTCGGGTCCGAGTCCCTTGTGACTCAAGACCATATTTTACTCTCTCCGACGACTCGCAGGGTCACGGTGGGTGCATTCGACCCAGCCTCCACACGGGTGCTAGTCTTGTTCGTATTCACTACATAGACTCGTGTCGGACCGCACAGAAAACACTGTCTCCAACATTTACTCCCTTGCTGAAATATATTTGCTGCCTAGGAACGGCTCGCTTTTTTGACATAATAGCGTATTTACTGTGCCATTTCCTAGCAATGGATGATTTATCTTGTTTCGCGCATGTCCTGTTAATGACTAATGTGCGCAGTCGAAGACAACTATGTCAGCAGAAGCAGAGTCGTTTTCATTTTGGAAAAATCGCTGATGCTGTCTGAATCCTCATACTCTTCTACGTAACTACTGCTCTGACATGAACCATGAGCCGTTCTGTATCTGAGTGCGTTGAACAACGCGAGTCGGAAAGTAACTTGTCCCTTCTTTAACAGCAATTCAAGATATACGTGTAAGATGCTGAAAAATAATTCCATTCTTGGTGTGACTTTGATTCTTTGGTTTTTAGCGGTCGCTAATTAACAAGGTGACCATAATTAGTGTTTAGAATGGTAGTAGAAACTGCTTCTAATTTGTTCTTTTAATTTAACCCTTTTTTACATAAATTATTTATTTTAACATTTCCTACTGCTTTTATTTCAAATCCCCATCTTAAATCCTAATATGTTACTCACATTTTGCATGCAACTTTTATCATTCAGGCTAATTACTAGTTCCTAAAATCCTGCTAACTTTTTGAAGCGTAGTGGGCACAACTCGTACATGTACCACCTGACATTGAAAGCTCTCCATTTTTCCCACTGAGCTTCATTCTCCCAATATATCGCTGTTATTTTCTTCGGAGCAATAACTCATGGGAAAATCGTAAAAGAAAAGTTCTAGTGTTTTCGGTGGAATAAAAACTTAATTTTTAAATACGTACTATTAAAGGTAAAGTTGTTTCTGTGCTTAATTAATTAAGCACTACGCCATGGGGGAATGGATATATAGATCCATATTTTCTTGACCTTGGAACAGGTTGAGGGTGATTGGTCAGCTTCACGCCTCCGGTCGCTTTACTTCCGGGGAAAGAAACCTCGGTACCCATTTTATAGGAGGTTTGGTAAGCCCCAGAGTCGGTCTGAACCATGTGTAGAAGAAAAAATTCTTGCCCCTAATGGGACTCGAACTTCGACCCCTCGAACGTCCAGCTCGTAAACAGTCGCTATACCGTCTGCACTACCCCGGCTCGTAAATATATTTGAATACTTAAAGTTTTAGATGATCAATCTGTTAATATTTTCAGTTGACTCGAATATGTAGGCCTATTAAATTCCAAATAACCAAGGAAGCTGCTTTAAAGGTAATGTTTCTCATTTGTATTCGAAAGGTTCTCGGATCGAATTTCGGCCAGGACACTGATTATTCTGACTGATCGGCTTCTTGTATACCCCATTCCTTCAAGAAGTTACTGCAGTAGTACCTCAAATTGCCGGTCACGGTAGCTGAGCGGTCTAAGACATGTACTGTCCTCGCTCGCTCGGAAGCCGGGATCGAGGGTTCGAATCCCACACAAGCCTTGGCTGTTTGGTATGTCTATATTCTTTGTCTGTGTTGTCCTGTATTTAGGTAGAGGCCTTGCGACGAGCTGATCACCCGCCCAAGGAGTCCTACCGTCTGTAAAATGATCAAAAATGAATACAGTAACAACCTCGACACCGTAGGATATAAGAGGAACGGATTAAGTAAGCAAGCACCTCAAATTAAGCCACTATCCTTTCGATCCTTATCCTTTCGAATTCACTGTTTACTGCCACCCAGTCATTCGGTGCTGCATGGCCGGAGTTACTGACGTCATTAAACGAACTACAAATTTAATGCCATACACCTGTAACGTATTTACGTACAGAGGTATACACGTAGGCTATATGAATAATAATGCGCGCACACACACAAATTATGCTGATGTACAGTCACGTCCAAGCCGCTGAGAAACACTATGTAGGCGAAGGTCCAGGCGGGGAGGCAAGCAAGCAGCGTCATGTAGTGTAATGCAGCCTCTCTTCTTCAATCTAGATTACATAAAGCGATAGAGACCTGGACTGTGGCCAGCCCTCCATGTGCAATGTTACCTTGTGACATCACCGTAGCTGCTGGCCCCGCTACTTGTTTCTGTATATAATAACAAGAGTCCTCATTGGTCAAGATATTTGTCTTAGTAGAAGGGGCCTCACTCCTTATTGGCAGCAAATCATTCTTAGGCACCGCCTTCTTCAATTTTTCTTTATTTTTTTCCCACTCTCCCTATTCATTGTTATTTCACCTGTTGCTATAGTTTAGGTGGAGTAGTTTGGGCGGGCGGGAAGGAGGGGGGAACTTCTTGAGGGGACCACGTGGTCGGGCGCTTCCTCTCCAGTTCTTGGGCTGGGTCTTCAGTTTGGTTGCAGAAGCTGACCACGACGGAGGAAGGTCAATAGCAGAGTAGGCTAACATTACGGCTGTCATCCGCGTGTGCTCTGCAAGTGGTGACTCCGTGGGCGGTGTCGGTGATGTACCAACGAGTGACCTTGATTAGTGACACTAGTTGCACCATCGATAAAGCGAAAGATTTTGGATTGATGCTGTGAAACATTTCCCACAGTTGTGATTGTGTGCCGAACATTTGACTGTGTATTTGATTTCTATTCACCCTGTGTGCTTTCTTGTTAAAAACTGATCGTAACTACACACGCTGATATTACTTGAAGCTGCTACTGACATGTGCTTCACCAGCAGCCAAAGGGCGAAATATAGTTGAACAATTAAGTATTTGTGTGAAACGACCTAATTACTTTGCAAACTTGTACGGTGTATGTAACTATAACGTGCAGAATATGTATTAATTAATGAATTTATTTACATAGGAACTGCACATAGTGTTAATGAATTGAATCAAAAAGACATTCATCCATGAACAGACAATTGGATAGGATGTTACTAATCGTGTAAATATATTCTTTAAATGTCTTATTTACATTGAACGATTCATGGTGTTAACCTACATTACCTGTTCTGAATTGAAATTGATTCAGTGACCTTGGAATTGTAATTGAATTCTTCCGCCATCCTGTGAGCTGCTTCAGAGCCTATTTGCACTTGGAACGAAAAGGACTTAATAACTATCACAATGGAAACGTGTGTACTGATTCCACAGGAGTTTTCCTTGGTTTTGACGGCGGGACCTGCACCAACTGTGTCAGCGACGACCCCGGCGGTGGACAGGAACGCCAATAAGTTGCCAGAGATGAGGGTCAATGTATGGACCAACGCTCGTATCCCCCAGGGAACACTCATCTACCCCTTCCAAGGAACCATTCGTCTCGATAAGCTGGAAGTTTACAGCTACTTGGACGACAATGACGTAAGTAGTCGGATGTTTGTTTCATTCCTGATCACTGTGGCTCTTTCATACCCTCTCACAGCGGACTGGATGCTGTGAAGCGGGAAGTGGGGGGGGGGGGAAGGGGCAACACTTCTGCCCTCAGGCAGCCAAGGTTTGACTGTGAATGTACATTTCGTCAGCAGAAGTTCTGTGTTGAATATAAGGCTAAAAATCGAGCTAAAAGAAAAAAATAAAACAAACGAGACTCCAGTTAGAAGATGACTCAAAGATGATCAAAAATCTTTTAGAAGTTCTAATCTTAAGTTGCGTCCTTGGTCCCCGAGACGCCGTTCGTTAGTGTCTCTTCGTATAGGGTTGTGACGTCTCAGCGTTCCGTAATTCATGCTCAATGAATATGTAAATTTAAATTATCCAGGAAATAAAAAACAGATATTCGCATATATCCGGTTAAAGCACAATAGACCACTGTAGGTCGCGGTGCAAGGGCCGAGAAGGCCCACCCCTTATACATTCATTCATACATCAGGTTATAAATGCTTGGGGATACAGTCAGAACTGATGGGCGAACTTCTGTCTGGAAGACTCTTTCGCGTATTTATTGAGTTGGATATAAACGAACACACTAACTTGGTGGCCTGTAGTCCGCAAGCGAACTATACCGACCGAGCGACTGCCGCTTGTCGGCGAAGTTAGTGCCAACTTTTGAGGATAGAGCGTGTCGCGTGGTCATCGCAACGAATCCCCACGGCCGTTAGTCTCGGTTTTCTAGACCATTGAGTTAAACATAAGTAACTAAAATTTTGCGCGTCATAACGAAGAGCTCTCATAGTTCCTGCACCATAATTTTCCATTGATGTTTATTATATGTCAGAGTCATGATAACTCAGTAGATGTATCGACGGGCTAAGGGACTGGATGGCCCGGGTTTGAATCCTTGCAATGTCAAGGTTTTTTCTTTTTCTTTTTCTTTTTTCCACAACGTCAAATCCGGCTCTAGGCCCCACCCAGATTACTATTCAATGGCTATTTTCCTTGAGGGTAAATCGGTCGATACATAAAGCTGGCCATTCACCTCCAACTAGTGCCGAGGTCAAGGAAAGTGGAGCTAAACCTCCATTCCTCCATATAAGTACAGGGACAACTTTGCTTTTATTATATGTCAAAATGTTTCTACTTCGAGACTGTTAGGAATGATGAAGCAAAGAAGCATTCTTTTAAATAGCTTTGTTTTTATTTAGCATAGCCTTAAAATCGTGCACAATTAGTCCTGTAGAGACTGGTTCACATTTTATTGATATTAAAACGCAGGGCAACTAGAAGTAAAAACGTAACAGAAAGGTCTCAAGTTCTCACAACCTTGAGTAAGAAGATTGCCGCTTTCTTCGTTCTAGTGCCGTATATTCTGTTAGAAGTTTACCGATATTCCTGAAGAACGTGCTTCCTCCATCAGGGTGAGAGACTGAGGCAGCATATATCTCTGAAACTTCGGTAAACGTATACCAGTCAACACTGCGTCACACCCGGAAGTCTGTAACCTTTAAATGAAGATGTGCATGTAAATGGAGGGGGCTGTAAGCGACGAAGGCAGAAGCATGGCACCAGATCATTCATAAAGGAACGATTCAACACCACGCCATAAGGACATGTGGCGGAGTGTAGGTGCAGCTCCACCATTCTTGACTTCAGCACTAGAAGAAGATGATGGGTCAGATTCATGCCACTGCCCCTTAGTTTTTCACTGGCTCTACAGCCCCCTTGGGCCTTGGCCTCTGATTTTCAGTTTCATGATCATTTTACAGGCGGTAGGACTCCTTGGACGAGTGATCAGCTTGTCGCAAGGCCCCTACCTAAACAGAGGACATCACAAACAGAATAAACATATATACATACCAAATATCCATGCCTTGTGTGGGATTCGAACCCACGATCCCGACTTCCGAATGAGCAAAGACAGTTCATGCCCTAGCCCGCTCGGCTACCGTGACCGGCCTTGCCGCTTTACCCTCCCGTTAAAAAAGAGTACATGCCCTAGCCCGCTCGGCTACCGTGACCGGCCTTGCCGCTTTACCCTCCCGTTCAAAAACAGTACATGCCCTAGCCCGCTCGCCTACCATGACCGGCCTTGCCGCTTTACCCTCCCGTTAAAACCGACAGTAGCCGTTGTATAAGAGAATGGGTTTGCCCCAGAGTCGGTCTGGACGGTCTGGACGCTGTGGAGTAGAGACAAAACTTCTTGCCCATGCTGGAAATTAAACCCCCGCCATTCACCCCATAGCACACAGCTATGCCAACTGAGGTGTCCTAGCTCCCTAGAATGATAAATGGGAAGATTAATTGTCTGTTATTTTAGAAAAGTTAGTTAACAGAGTGAGAGAGAAATTATCAGATTTAAGTCAAGTGATTCTTCAGCACAGATTGGTCCCGAAGATCTGCAACCCCTCCCGCCTTAACTTGAAGATTTGGCCCACGGTCTGCATGTATGTATTCATGGGAAATGCCGATACACTCACACTTCTTGTTGTGTCTCCTGAGACTACGAAGTCTCTCATGGGATCGGTCTTTCTTCCTCTCGTTTCAGTTCTTTGAATGTCTGGTAGCTACTTTCTTTTAGTAGCCCCAATGAAGAAGTACGAGAAATGCATATAGGATATTGGTGGGAAAGCCAGAAGGAAAGAGACCACTGGGAAGACAAAGGCGTAGGTGGGTGGACAATATTAAAATGGATATATTTTTTATTGCTAATAGGGTGGGACTAAGTCCCTTGTACTGCTGCCAATTCTGGCCTATTGTACCAGCCCCAGATGATAGGTGAGTGTGATTGTGGAGCAATTGTGGAATGAAGATTGGCAAGGGAAACCGAAGTACTCGGAGAAAACCTGCTCCAGCGCCACTTTGTCCACCACAAATCTCACTTGACCAGACCCGGGGTCGAACCAGGGCCGCCACGGTGGGAAGCTAGCGACTAACCGCTTGAGCTATGGCGCGGCCCTAAAAAATGTATCTTAGAGAGATAGGATGGGATGTTATGGATTGGATTGACTTGGCTCAGGATAGGGACCAGTTGAGGGCTCTTGTGAATACGGTAGTGAACCTTCGGATTTCATAAATGCTGGGAAATCCTTGAGTAGTTGCAGAATTGGCGGTTCCTCTAGAAGGCCTCAGCTTCATTAGTAATTACGTAATTAATGAAGAAGAATGGTGAGGAAAAGTTCGGAGACCATGATAACCTTCCAAATGATGTGACCATTAAAGAACCCTTTCAAATGGGACATTATGGAGTTTCCACATGAGGCCTTGCATCATGTAGCTTCAAACAGCAGTTGATTTCGTCCGTGCTGTCCGAGCGTAATGACACCTCCACTTAAGTGAAACCATTCCTAGTCATGAAAAAGAAAAACACTGGCCCAAATGTCACCGTTTCGGATGAGGTGTCGAAACCACTGGAAATAACGCACTGTTTGAATTCGACAGGTGCTGTAAATTCATACAGTGTGTAAAGCGGAAGCGCAAGGCTTCAAGAATTTCATAGCCCTTCGTAGACTTCCGCCAGTCACCGTAGCCGAGCGGTCTAAGGCAAGTACTGTCTTCGCTCGCTCGAAAGTCGGGATCGTGGGTTCGAATTCCACACAAGGCATGGATATTTGGTATGTGTATGCGTTTATTCTGTGTTTATGTTGTCCCATGTTTAGGTAGAGGCCTTACGACGAGGTTATCACTCATCCAAATAGTCCTACCGTCTGCAAAATGATCATGAAACTGAGAAAATCATCCGTATGCTTCAAAGTTGGAGGGAGGGGGGCCGNCGTAGACTTCCGGAGCTTAATTTTGCTGGCGACGTTTCCTAGCTGGATTTCATGGTGCCTACAATAAACGGTATTGAATTTCTTACAATGTTTTATCACTAAGGATGGGACGATTGAAACGTCACTTGCCTTTGACGCCACCTGTTTCATAGAAAGGACCGAGGACGATATATTGGAAACTGTGAGATTTTTGAGGGCACGAATAACTGAATTCTGGGTTATGGTGTAGACATAAAGTAATGTGAACAGGTGCTCTACTTGAAGAAAGCAGTCTTCTGGGATTTGGCACCGTGTATATGTGGTGTTAATCGACGTTTCGGAGGAACGTATCGCCACCATCTTCAGGGTAGAAGGAAAAATATAAGAAATCTGCAAGCGAAGAGACCGTGAGACACGTGTCTGCTTTTACCGATTCTCACGGTCTCTTCGCTTGCAGATTTCTTATATTTTTTCTTCTACCCTGAAGATGGAGGCGATACGTTCCTCCGAAACGTCGATTAACACCACATATACACGGTGCCAAATCCCAGAAGACTGCTTTCTTCATGTGTTCTACTCGTTTGCACTGAAGATGCTCAGATACAAGAGGCGCAACTTATAGACTGCTCAAGAACACACACACACAACATTACATGTTTGCCATGTTCCAGTGTTGCCACACCATGTACCGATGCTTGAAAATATATATATATATATACCCGTCTATAAGAAAATGCCCACATTATCACGAGTTACTTTACTTGTGGATTTCCTGTTTCAGAGAATGATTTTAGTCGGCAGGTTTGTCGAGAAACTTCATGTTTTGTTTGTAATTTTCTAAATATCAGATAGGTCACTTATGTCAGTGTTCTTGAACCGCTATACCATAGCCTTGTGGTATCTCGTGACCGTGACATGGGTTCAATGCTTCTCAGCTTTTGAATTCATGTGCGTTTTCAACCATTTACTTCTAAGCACGAAGGAATAGCAGTGCTATTTTGTTCATCCATATTTTGTCATCCTTGTTTACGAAAATTTTGCTTTCTCGATAGTTCAGAAATATTTCATTATATCTTACGCCCAAGCTGAATTACTTTCTATATTACTTGTTATAGGCTACATTTATTTTCATTTACAGAATATATATTTTTAGTTCCTACTTCAATTGCTTATTCATCATTGTTGTTAATCTTTTTATATTTTTAAACTGTAGGTAATAATACAATAATCTTAGAG